CAGTTGAGACAACTTGTGGTGCTTCAAGTTGACGAAGCAGAGATGTATGGGCAGGTTGTGCAGGAATGAAGCATTCCACCTCGTCTACACGCATGACACGCCGCGGAACTGCTCAAAAGAAAACTGCCATGTTTACTGAACGTGTTTCGATGTGATAAAGAGGCCGTCGGTGCTTCCTGACAAATGCCTGAGGCTGGAACGAAAAATTAATTTTACTCTTGTCCCAGGTGGGACTAATTACATATTAGAAGGCCGGACATAATCGCGTTACAACTTGCAACTGTATGAAAATTATTAAACAGCTTCAACCGACTGAACGCCAAAAGACATCAAATAACAAACAGAGGCCCCTTCAGGTGAACGTACTACTTTATTACTTAATCACTACGAACACAAAGAGTGACTTTAGTGGGCCGGGCCATTGTGTTTCCAGGTCAGAGTGTCCCGTCACAGGGAGTCGGCCAAACTCGGCACAGCATCCAAGGATCTGGAGCTAGACGAGGCCGTGGAACAAGAAGTGGATAATGTGCAGGTCGGCAATGCAGCGAGCGTCATAGAGTTCGTCCGAAACTTCGGATCGGATTCCATCGCATCCTACGCGACGGGGAACTCGCTGTATCAGGTACTAAAGTCTGTTCGTAAATTATAATAGAAGATTTATTGTGTAAAGTTTAAATGAAAAGTAAAAATCCTGTTTTGTATCGAGGCACCAGGTTATTTCACAATGTGCACAAAGCGAACTGTGTCCGTCAGTCTGTACGTACGTCTTATCTCCCACACCACTGAACGGATTTCGATTAAATGTGGCATTATGGTTTCCACTAATAGTTGTTGCAGCTTACTTATATAATAAGATTTATCTCGCTTCAATGTATCCTCTACTTTACATGAAACTTAAATCGAACTGTACCGAGTTTATTAAAACCGGTTTTCGGAAAAGTGTGTTGATTAAATGAATACATGCATCTTAGAGAGATCCACAAGTTCTATTTTAAACATGTTTGTTGTGGCAAATATTTAAAGAAATACGAGAAGAAAGTAATATGACTCTAAACAGAATGACATCTGTATCTTTCCAAAGACAATTTTGTACTGCAGTAAAGGAACTTAGATGCCGATGCGATATGTAAAATTGCAAAGAACGAATCCGGAAAATGTGTAGTGGGGTTCATCTCACTTTCATCTCTTTTGGGCGATGTTACGACATTCGTGATGGAATGATGTGCCAACGTGTTTCCGTCTTCAAGGCGAACTGGCTCGCCAGAACGCGATGTTATCACGCAAAGCAAAAAAACAAAGGAAGCCTCGACATGCGACGACCATGAAAACAGTTATTTTACATCTTTTATTTGAATGTAATAACACGAAGAACACCGTATTTCTCTCACCACTTGCATATCGTGCGAATTTGAACAAAATCGAGCAAACACACTTTAAAATTACTTGAACCACAGTACATGGGCTAAACACGTATTTCCTATACAGCCCAAAACACTATCGTTTCATTTTCAAGTGAACTTTTATATTAAGTACGTCGCGTAATTTATGTTGATTACGTTAGGAAAAAACCTCCTCATCTAGAGCACAGTTGGACAGATGAACACAGAACGTAAAAACCGTATGCGCGTTACAGTAAAAGAACCCAAAACATTTAAAAGGAAATTGAGACGCAGGGTAGACAATTATGTAATTTCGTTTACTTTTTATTAGTTTTTGGATCTTTTTAACAAACTTGCATTTCATTTGAACGTGCCCCCTCGTAAACCCAAATGAGAGTTACACTTTCAATATGAAATGAAAGAATCCCTTAATTCACAGCCCTTTTATTGTGCAGTTATATGCATTTAAGTCGGCACTGATTTCCGCAACTAGGTCAGCAGGTCGCTTTGGCTTCGCAAAGTTTCTCTTTCGTCAGTTTCCCTTTCGTTTCTTTGTGAGGTAGACTTGTTATGACGGCATTCGTAATCGCTCGCTCCCTCCAAGACGACAATAACAACCATTTCCTCTCTTACGTGAGATGCAACTCCGGAGACAACTTAAAATTATCATTACGTATGCAGTTTTGCAATGCATACAAGAACATACGAAGATTAATTAAATATTTTGCAGTTTACGAGGTTAAGGACAATTTACGTTACCACGTACCTACAAACCGTGTTATCCTTACACAATTACGACTCTCCAAACCAAACTACACTGAAATTTCTCAGAAATTCCTAGTACCTTATAGATTTGTTTTGTTTTCAACATAGGCTGAATGACAGGGCTCCATAGTCTCTGGGGCACTTCCAACCTCCTATTCGAGAGTCATTTCCCCTGGAAAGTGACACCAACCACCACCTAAATCGGTTAAGAATACGCGGAGCTTTACCACTACTCCCCCTACAAGCTTCATGACATCGCAATTTGTAAGAACAAAGGACACGATCGGTGGATTAACGAGAAAATGTTTTATACGGCCAGCGGTATAGCCAGTTCCATTGCAGAGTATAACGAAAGTTAACAGCCAGTGCTCAGCGGCCGAACTCGTGCTGCAATCAGAAGGTTCCTTCATGCCCGATGGTCTTGAACTACGCCTATCCACTGCATGTCAGCCTCGGGTCAAAGAACCAGCTTCAAGATTAATTAATACAAAAGTAATCACTCTTTGCGTGAAAGCTGGTAAAACAGTCAGTAAAGAGACTGGACATGTTGAAAACCCATCTCGCGGTTTTCTACCCTTTACGTGCAGAGACAGACAGACATGGTGAAGCCAGTAAGGGCACGTTTGCAACCATTAATTTCTAACTCACCTAAAAATCGCTACTTACGAATCTCGGCCGGGTTTTAGACTACTCAGGTTTTCGTGGTGGTCCTCAGTCAGGTCAGCAAAATGCTGGTTTAGTACGCTAATAGGCTAGGACCTCACTTTTCCGTTTTTGCATAATCGAGAGAAAAAACATGAGTAGCTTCAATACCGACACAGAGTCAGGACAATGAGGATCAGTGAGGCAGCATATGTAGCATGCACTGGAGAAATCAGACATGCCTGTCACAGTTTGGTCACAAAATCTCAAACGAAAGATAAAATTCCATTTGTGTTGCAGGTGTTTGTGTACAATCCTCCCATCTACAGAAGCATCAAGGATCGTCTGAGGACACAAGGCGTGTCAAATCTGTCGAATGTGGAACTGGCAAGTTTATTCTCACCCTGGAGTGCAGAGCACATCGGGGAGATTCAAGCTGCAAGTGGGAACGCCACGGTAGAGGAGTGGGCAACGGAAAACCTCCGCATACATTTTTATTTATTTACATACACGAGCTTGTTGAAATTACATCAAAATGGAAACTTATTGCGAAAACTGGACAGCTTATTAGGAAACGAGGCATTGCTGCAGTTAAACCTCAGGATGCTCTCACCAGCATTTAAAGACTCCATCAAGCAGCAATGGTTCCACGAGGTCATAGACAACTACCTGAAGCTGTGGGAAGTGAACATGTGAACTGAACGTCTTGACCTCATGCCAAGTGATACAA